ATTAGTCTTTCAATGAAAGAAGTGGATCAGAAAACTGGAGTGGATTTGAATCCGAAGGAGCCATCCTTGCCCAAAGACAGTGTTCTTCCGTGGGACGACATGCCACAAGCGAGAAACCCAGAAGCTCCTTGGATGAACCCCAGCGAAGAGTCGTCTTCACAGATGAAAATGTACTGCTAGGACTATAATTTTATTTGCTATTTTGAAGAATGAATTTTTAACTTCTTCCGACTGTATTTTTTCAGGACGACTAAAAGCAGAGTTAGGTTAACCACTCCAGAAAGGTGGGAGCTTCGTCAGATGCAAGGCGGTGGAGCTATAACGAATATGGACTTGCCAGATTTTGATGAGGAACTTGGAGTCCTCAAGAACTTTGATGGTTTTTTTATTTAATTTCATAGCTTGACTCTCATTTGCGCTGAAACTGACCTAAGCATAGATCTTTTAATGTTTTTTGTTAAAGACTAACATTAACAATTTAGAAGAAAGTGATGGCGAGGATATTGAGATCGAACTGGTAGAAGATGAACCTGCTTTCTTACGCGGTTATGGCAAACAAAGCGTGAACCTTGAACCTGTAAAGGTGGTTAAGAATCCAGATGGAAGCCTTGCCCAAGCTGCATTAATGCAGGTAAGTCTTACTAGTTTTTGTTAATTAAGTTTGCAAGTACACCATTTGTCGTAGAACTAATTTTCGGTGGAAACTGCTTCTTTTTTAGTAATATATTTAGTTCCTGCTTTATTTTAGGGCGCTCTAGCTAAGGAGAGACGTGAACAAAAGGTACAAGCCCAACGCGAAGCAGAATCTCAAAGTCAGCGCAGCGGGCTTTCGTCCACAATGCGCATTAACGACCCTATGGCAGACCTTTCGCAAGATTCCGTAGCGATGGAAGCTGTCGGACCAGCGCAGCGAGTGAAGGTTAGATTTCAGTATTTTTCTTATGAGGACCTTGACTTTTCCTTATAATTCCTCGGATTTAGCTATTTCTATGAACAGATTGAAGCTGTGTAAGCGACTGGGTAAGGAAATTGATTGTTTCAAAGTAAACTAAATTTCAGGAGATGCCTGAGTGGAGGAGGCATATAACTGCTGACGGTAAAGCATCTCACGGAAAAAGGACCAATCTTTCAATAAAAGAGCAGCGAGAGTCTCTTCCCATATTTGCATTGAAAAAGGCTTTATTGGAAGCGGTCGCCGCTAATCAGATTTTAGTTGTTATTGGTGAGACAGGGTCTGGAAAGACTACACAAATAACCCAGTACTTGATTGAGGCCGGCTATGCTGGGCGAGGACGTATTGGATGCACTCAACCACGGTTTGTCATTTATTCTTCTTCCTCATGCTTGGATACTGTTTTATTAGTGGCATTCGCAGAAAAAGCTTTTTAAAAAAGGTTCGGCTTCACTGTAAACTGGAATTTTTTCACAAATAAGTGTAAGCTGGGATTCAGTCACATATTATATGGCTTAATAAAGAACAGTTCTTCAGACGCGTGGCAGCTATGTCAGTAGCGAGACGTGTAAGTGAAGAGTTTGGATGTCGTTTAGGTTCAGAAGTGGGCTATACGATTCGTTTTGAAGACGTTACCAGGTTCGCTTCTTCAGCACTTTTCAGATTCATGAACTCCATTCACCATCAATTTTTTTTTATTATATTACAGTTGTGGCTGTCATCCATTTTTGCCGGAATCTGTCAGGCAAATAAAGTTTCTCATTTGAAACCGTATTATTTGTGTAGTGCATGGGAAATAATATTGTTTGTATAAAAAAGATGCATTGGTAATTCAATGAAATTGTTTTTAGCTCCGACACGATTATCAAGTACATGACAGATGGTATGTTACTTCGGGAATGCCTGTTGGACCCCGATTTGAAAGCGTATTCAGTGATAATGTTGGACGAAGCTCATGAGAGGACTATTAATACGGATGTTCTGTTTGGTTTGTTAAAAGCAGCAGCCAAAAAAAGACCTGAATTGAAGCTTATAGTCACGAGGTATGGTTAATTAACTTGTTGTCATTTGTTTTTGGCAGGAGTATTCTGTGCTTACATTCAGTATGGCTTTTTTTGCTGTGTTTTTTAATGAGTCATTTTAGTGCTACTCTTGATATGGAGAAATTCGCGCAGTATTTTAATAATGCTCCTATATTCATGATTCCGGGGCGGACATTCCCAGTCGAAGTATTGTATACTCGTGAACCTGAAACTGACTATCTGGATGCAGCTCTCATTACTGTAATGCAGATTCATTTAACAGAGCCTCCTGGAGACATACTTGTATTCTTAACGGGCCAGGTTCGCTATGAAAATTATTCAGCATTTAAGGAATCTTTTTTCTACTAT